CGGCCCGGGGCTCCGTCTGGCCCCGCGGCGCCGGGATCAGGGTGGCAGACCCATGCCGTTCCGGAGCTGGGCAAGGCTTTGAAGGTGGCAGAAGCGACCCTCGTCCCCCAAATTCGGCACTGGGAAACGGGGAGGGGGCCGACGTAGGCACCCCCACACCTCGCTGCTCCTCTTTGCTCGCGTTTCCGTCGTCTTGCCCACGCCCCCTTCCGAGGGCGGCGAGGAGAACCGGGTGGTCCAAGGCCCCCCCGGATCGAGTGGCAGGGGGGAGGGGCGCTGCGGGCACGGCGCCCCTTTACGCGCCCTGACTCCCCATTCCCACGCCCCCGAATTGAGAAGGGGCCGGGATGTGGTAACATGGAGGCCTTCCAGGTGGAAGATCCGGAGGCCACGTTGGAAGCCGGAGGAAGGAGGCCGGGAGACCCTGGGTTTGGATGGGTTCCTTCTCTTCCATTCCTGGCTGGACTGCATCCCTGCCCGGGCATAGTTCCCTGGGGAGCTTGTTAAAGTGAAGCTTGGGTGGGGACAGGTCAGCCTGTAAGGGAAGCTAATTCACTGGGTTGGTGTTACAAAGGTTAGCTCTAACCACTGGGCGACGTCTGGTCCGCTAACGGAGAGGTAAGCTGTGTGCGCTCACCCCCCAAACCTGGGGGAATACAGAGGCGGCTGTCCACAGTATAGGCCTGGAAGCCCTGTGGGGCTGTTGTCCTGTGCCCTGTAGGGTCATATGGGTCGGGACCAGCAGGAAGGCAGGGGGTTTAACCCAGTTTTGTAAGTCAGCTTTGGCTCTGAGTAAGCCCTGGGAGGAATTCCTGGGTGACCCAGGTGGTGGGTGACACACTAGAGGAAAGAGGATGCACCCCGGAGCAACGGGTTGGCAGTCTACTTCCAGCCACCACTGAGCACGTGCACGCCCACCGAGGGTGTGGGGGGGACCTCAGTCAATTCCTTTTGGCAAGTGAGCACAATAGGTCATTGGGAGCCAAGTCCTTGCCCGTGGGTGTGGTGGTTTCCCTTTGTAACCCAAGGAGGCTGGGGCTGGAGGGCAGCCTGTGGAGTCTGACAGATGTCCTTCCAGCCTGGCCACTTACCGGCACTGTGACAGTGCCTGAACTGGATTTGGAAAAAGGGGCTGCGAAGGAGCTAGTGTGGAATCTGAATTTCCCCCTGTGTGTGTGTTTGTGTGGTTGGGGGTGGGCGCTGTCATCCAGGGAGCTGCCATGGTAGATACCTATACTTTATCCTGGTGTGTGGGCTATATAGCACAAAGGTTAGTTGCCAGGGGACTGCTGAGTGATTTTTGGGGGGCATTTCTGAAAAGGAGGCAGTAGGCCAGATGAGTTAGGAACTTATTTACTGTAGGTCAGGCATCTGGCCAAGCAGGGGCTCAGTGTGGACTTCTGAATAATACCAGTTTGCTAAATGGCCTCTTTCTGCCGGTCAGCTTTTGGGGCAGCCCAGAGTACTAATTGGGGAGAGAGGTGAGGCTTCCTAGTCCCTTAAAATGTGGCAATGTCAAAACCTCGCAGGCTGGTTTTACCCTGTCTTGGACTTGGCAGTCAGAGGCCTGATGTTGAGGGAGAGTCTCCTGGTAAACCTCTGGGACATGACCGGGAACACCTTGTCTGTTCACATTCAGTCATTTCACAACGTGGTACGCACTTCAGTGCTGCTCTGGGAACTTTCCAGAGCTGATCCCTGTGATCGCACGCAGGGATTTTTTAAATTGGAGATAGTGCTAGTCTAGGAGGAGGCCTCTTCAGCTTGTATTTTCTTAGATCTCTTTCTTTTGAGTTGCAGATTTGAGATGAGAGGACTTTAAAAAGCAAAAACAAACAAACAACCTAACCCATAAAACCCCCTTTCAACAGCTCTGCAATCTACTCCATGTTACGATTTCAACAGACACCCCACCCCGACCCCACCCCAGTTCTTCGTAAGACCAAGGATCAGCCCCAGCCGCATTTGTTTGCATGGGGCCAGCCTTGCCCATGCTGACTTTCCCCAGTGAGCAACCTGGAAGCAAGGGGCCAGGGGGCATCTGGGAGGAGTCTTGTGCACTCCTGAAGAGTCTCTGCCCTGCTTTGTTCCAGGAAGGTGCCCTGTGATTGTAGAGAGTATGTGTTTGTAAACACTCCCCTTCTGTTCCCGATTGGAGTGCTCAGTAAGAGTTGATGAGAACAGGGTCTGAGTGTGAAGCGTGACTTGAAGCCGGATTGGCCAGGTGACCTTCCACCCCCACCCAGGCCAAAACATTCCGGGATTCCTCACCCAGCTAAACTTCCAGCAGGGATCTTCAAATAACAAAAGCAAAACAGCCCCTTCTCGGGCTAGACCTGGTCACACGTCCCATGGGTGCTTGTGTGTGTGAGTGAGTGTTGTCCCATGGGTGCTTGTGTGTGTGAGTGAGTGAGGAACAGGGAAGACCCTCAGTTGCCACTTTTAGCAACTCTTTGCTCGCCTTGTTTGTTCTGCTCAACAACCCCTCCCTTGGATTGTTTTAAGCAACTTCCCCACGGACTCAGCCTTGTGCTAGCGCAGTTTCGTGGTGTTTTTTAACGACACAATTACCACCACCCCTGCAAAGGTGCTCATTCCGAGTATGTAGACCTTGCTGATGTTTATGTTTTTCTGATGGTCCCCCACCTGGCTTTTTACAGCTTCCCACTTGGTCATGGTCTCAGACACCTGGTTAATCTGGAGGCACCTGGCAGTTGAGGTGTTTTCCTTCCTGGGTTGGGGCTCATTACTAGAGGCCAACTATTGGTCCTGGGAAGCTTTTCCAAGACAGTCATTGTATTACAAAGACAGTGGCCCTGACGCTCGCCTCCGTTGGGGACGCTCTGCAGGGAGGCAGTGCTTGATGGCCTTTTAAAATTTTTAAACTCCTTCTGCCCACAGGCGTCTTTGTGCAGAATTGGGGAAGTCGGTTGTGTACCAGGAGACCAATGGAGGTAAGTTACAATGCTTTTGTAAGCACCCTTTAGTGTTCGAGTTCGGCTGCTGCCCGCCAGGCCAGTGGTTTGAACCCACCAAGCCGCCCCAAGGGAGAAAGAAGAGGCTTTCTGCTCTTGTCGAGATTCAGTCTTGGAGACCCACAGGGCCAGTTCTCTTCGGTCAGTCGGTCGCTGTGAGTCTTGGTCGTTGGTGGATTCCATCTAGGCCATTTCGGCTCCCAGCCACCCCACGTGACCGCAGCGCCCGGATAGGGCTTCCCAGGCTGTGACCTGTGTAGAAGCAGGTTGCCAGGCCTTTCTCCCTCTGGGCATCGGGTCAGGATGTACAACACTTATTTAATCCATAGCACATCTCCGAGGGTTTTCTCCCGTCCTGTGAGTCGCCTTTGTACCCTCTCCGTGCGGACCTTCCTGCACCTGCTTCATTGGGAGGACGCCTGGTTTACTTACTCTTTGCCTGCTCGTCTCGTCCTCTGATCTTCTCCAAGGACGTACTGAGCCGGCTTGCTTTTCAAGGGCGAGTGTCCCTCCCTTTTTGTGGGCCAGAAAGCGCTCCTCCCTTCAAGGTCAGGGTACGAGGGATCATCCTGTACCCTCCCCCCCAGCAGGACATCTTCTTCCTCATCCTCCCCCTTCCCAAGATGTTGCCAACAAAACAGGCATGTGGGAGAGGAAAGCGAGCGGTGAGAAGATGTCATTTCTCCTCTGGGGGTTTGTCTGCCTCTGTGGGCATCGGCTGGCACCAGGCACACGGGGGGCATCGGGTAGCCTTGGTTTATTCCAGCTCCTCCCTGTGGCCTTTCTGGCTCAGTCCTTCCCCACCTCTGGCAGCCACAGGTGCATCCTCTGGTGTACTTGGAGGACCATGGCATGGTTACATGACTGAAGACAGACCCCTGCTGGGCGGCCAGAGCTCCTGGAACGCCAAGGTTGGAGTCCAGTGGGACCAGGAAGGAGCCCTGGTGCCGTGGTGATTATGCGTTGGGCTGTCAACCGCAACGTCAGCAGTTCAAAGCCACCATCCACCTCATGGGAGAAAGTCAAGACATTCTACTTCTGTAGAAACCCACAGGGCAGTTAGTCTGCCCTGCCCTACAGGGTCATTGTGAGTCAGAATGTACCCCATGGCAGTGCGAAGTGGAACCAGCACTTCAGGTGACAAAACCCACCTGGATGTGAGCCCCAGCTGGTATCAGATCCTTTGGAATTAAGTTTTGCAGTGTTGAAAGCCAGGGCCCACACGTCTCCACCCCTTTTCCTTCCTAAAGTCTTTGGAGGGCAGAGCTACCAAGAAGTAGCGTCATCTAGACCGGGGAGGGCACGCTGGTCTGGAGGCTTGCTTGGGGCCCTTCGAGACATCCTCTACAGCCTCGAGAGAGACTTTGTACTCCCATAGGCAGTTACAGTCTCACAGGACAGTCCTGACTCGATGGCAGTGAGCTTGAGGGCTTATTTTGCTTCTTTGTGGGGGCAAGTCATGAGCTGTTGATATTTAAAAACCTGAAAGTGGAGGCAGGTAGGGGAGTGCCCTGATTCAGGGATGATGAATTTAAAGTATCAGGTCTCAGGCTGAGAAGCCCCCAAGCAGGGCCCTCCTTAACTGCCGGAGTCCTCCTTCCCTCTCCCTGGGGCTCTTGGCCTCCTTTCCCGGCTGGCCTCTCACCTCCACCTCAGCCTGCTCCAGCCCACCCTCTGTGCTTCCACCGGACCTTTGTAAACACAAGTGATCAAAGGATTTTGTCCACCACTGCTGGAGGCCCTGCAGGGCCCAGTCACCCTGTGGGCCTTCGGCATCCCAGCCCTGCCCCTGCACCATCTCACCATCCATCACCTCGTCTTGTCCCTCTGACCCAGAGTGCAACCTGCCCTGCTGGCTTCCCACCGCTGAGTCCAGCCTGGACTCCGAGGAAGCCTGAAGTGGCGTCTCCTGGTGTTGGGAGCTCGGGCCCCAGGGGCCACTCCAACAGCCAGTGGTAAAACTAGCTCATGCCCTCCTCCCTCCGTGGCATCCCTGTCACACTCGGCTTGAAGCCCAGGCTCTTGATTATAGCTCTGTCCTCAGTTGGCCCACTGACCTCTCCCTCCCTCAGGGCCCTCTTCTGCTCTGCTGCCCAGCAGTTTCCAGGTGCTCAGGCTGCCCTTCTGCCCAGTCCATGTGGCACGGTCCCTTCCTCTACACAGTGAGGCTGGTGGCAAGGCCCCTCCAGCGCCGCATATCCTGCGCGTCCTTCCGGCAGCTCTGCCTCTGCCCTGAGGGCCTCGGAGGGTGCCCAAGTCTTCCTGCTGCGGTCTGCCCCTGGGCCCTGGCCTCTGCTGCAGGGTCTGGCGCGGAGGGGGCTTCTTGTGCGAACAGCTGGGGGTTGTTGGTCATTGGCCTCCTTGTGGGCTGTGGGCTTTTCCTCCGGGCGGGTTTCTGTGTCGCTTTTTGGGGACCTTGAGATTTTAGGAGGACTTTTGGCATATTGTCCTCCTAGCGTCACTATTCGTGGTGGCTCTGTCAAATAAGCACTGCACAGCCAACCACAATGCCAGCAGTCAAGCCCACCAGCCCCTCCCTGGGAGACAGCTGGGTCTGTCTGCTCCCTAAAGATATAGAGCTTGGGAAGCCCTCTCTCGGGTCACTCTGAGTGGGTTTGATGTGTGGTTTTGCTGTTTCTCAAGTAAAATTCTGAAATCTGGTGACGGCGATGCAGCTGCTGAAGAGCACCCGCTGCCCAGTGGGGGGAGAGAAGGCCGCCGGCTGCCGTGAAGGGTGGCAGCCTTGGAAAGCCAGGGCAGTTCTGCTCTGCCCTAGAGGGTCCCCATGAATCAGAATGGGCTCTGTAGCAATGTGGATTTTTCAGGATTTCATATTACTACTTTGGTGGGCCCGCTGAGGTAGACTGGTGTTTGCCTGGTGATGGCTTCGCCCAGTGCTGCCCTTAAACCTGGGGGACTTGCTGTGTTTCAGAGACGAGGGTGGAAGTGAAGGAGTCCGTGCGTGGCCAGGATGTTTTCATCATACAGACCATACCCAGGTAAGCCGTGCCGACACGCCGCAACCTGCGGGGGTGGGGGTGGGGGTGGGGGTGGTGCAACTGCCCCTGCGGGTCTCTGAGCCTGTCATTTTGGCTTCCTGACAACTTTTTATTTTTAAACAGTTTTATTGACACTTTATCCACATGTCATACAATTCAGTAACTCAATCATATCAAGGGGAGTTGCACAACTGTCATTCAATTTTAGAACATCTTCCTTGCACTCACTGTTATTCATGTAATAATTTTTTCCCCTAATGGTGGCAAAAATTTATACAACAGAACGTTCTCCGATTCCATGACTTCTGCTTGTGTAATTCAGTGTCCTTGATTATACTCTTCCTGCTGGACAGCACTATTGATGCCTTTTCCAAGTTGTCCTAGCGCCTCCAACACAAACTCAGTGCCCCTACGCAGCACCCCTTTCCTTCACCGACACAAACTCAGTGCCCCTACGCAGCACCCCTTCCCCTTCACCGACATAAACTCAGTGCCCCTACGCAGCACCCCTTTCCCCTTCACCGACATAAACTCAGTGCCCCTACGCAGCACCCCTTTCCCCTTCACCTAGGGCAACCATTGGCCAAGCTTGGTTTCTCTTTTTTTCTGTGCTTTTCTTGATAATCATATTCACACACCATCTACTTCCATGGTTAGATTGCTTTTAAAGTGAGCTGTATAATCTCAGTCAGTTCTAGTGCTCTCTTCTCTTCCTCCATTCATTGTCTGCTCCCCAATCTCCTCACCCTCTCCCTATCTCCCACCCCCACCCCTAAAGCCCCTATAAACCCTTGCATCATCTTGCTGTTGTCTCCATGCATCCCCTCCTCTGTGCTTTGCAAACTGGGAAACCCAACAGAAACAATAAAAACAAAACCAAAATAAGTGGTAAGGATAAAATAATAACGTAAAGATAAAAATACAAGTAACGAGGAAGAAAGAAAAGGCCCACCATCAATACTTTAAAAACCAGGGGGGTAATTTTGTCATGGAACAAGCAATTAATACTTGAACCTCCCCAAGAGGAGAGCGAATTTTGGGAATGATGAGGGCAACAAATGTATAGGTGTGCTTTACACAATTGATTTATGTATTGTGATGAATTGTATGAGCCCCAATAAAACGATTTAAAAAAAAAAATACTTGAGCCTAGAGCAAATTCAGGTTGGGTCAAGATGGAGGTCAGCTGACCCAGTATCAGGTTCTATCCAGCATAATCAAGTTTACAGTGAACTCTGATAGTAAAGTTGTTCGAGACCCTTGCCTGTGGCTAGAGGGGATCGGCCAGTGGCTTAATCCGACCAGACACTCTGCAGTGGGTTCTGGGCTCCCTCTGCCCTCCAGAGCCTTCTACAAACTGGGTGTTCACAATGTAAGCTCTGATACGTTTCCCTTCATCGTGTTGGATTTTGTTCTTGTCACCTTGGATCACACAGGCTCGTGTGCCTCTTCCGTGAACTTAGTTGCCGCCTCCCTTGACGGCTGCCTGTTTGAATACGAGCCTCGAAGACCCCATCCGCTTTTTCACCACACTTTGCTGTAGCACGTGTGTCTCAGTGATCTGTTCATGAAGCCGAGTATCGAGCAGGGCCACGTCGTTGGATGGGGACTAGAGTTAAGTGGGAGCCAGCCCAGCATCCATCTGCTTGTCCATGGGATACGCACAGCTCTGGTTTACTTCTGCAGTGGTTTTATGATAAAATCAAAACCCGTAAGCCCAGCTACTCCACCACCAACAAACCAACCAGCAAACAAGCAAACGGCAGGACCAGCAACCCTGGAAACAGAAAGGGAAAGCTCGGTCAGTCACTCCGGGCGCTGATAGCGTCAGCGGTTTTCCCACTGACAGCCTGGACCACCCACGAGGGTCCGAGAGTCTGCTCAGGCACAGGCCCGTCCCTCTCCATGGCAACAGAGCCTTGTACTCAGTGGTGGTCAGTCAGCAGCCGTCGCTTAACCTCCCCACCACCAGGGCTCCTAGCCCTGCTTTTTCAACCTTCTTTCCCTAGAAATTGTCGATGGGAATTCACTGTCTACAGGAACAGCCATTTGGTGTATTTTTTTCTTTTTTTAAAATTCCGTCGAATCATTTTTTTAATCGTATTAGGGGCTCATACGACTCTTATCGCAATCCAAACATCAATTGGGTAAAACACACTTGTACATTCATTGCCCTCCTCCTCCTCAAAACATTTGTACTCCGTTGGAGTATTTCTCTCAACGATGGGCTATTTCCAGGTGCAGACTGCTGCCCTGCACGTAGGCACAGGCCCCGCTGTTCACTACCCCGACCAGGAAGGCCTTTCAGCTTGTCAGGGCAAGCAAGTGCTCCTGACGCTGCTTCCTGGGCTCCTCTGGGAAGCGTTTGGTGTCGGGGTGGTGTGCACGCGTAACTGTCCTGTGTTCTGGTGACGCAGCAGCACATTTCTGGCCTGTCCCCTCACCTCAGCAGGAGGGCTTGTCTGGAGAGCGCTCCCCTTGCCCATCACCTCCCAGGGCACGGAGGGTCCTGCCATCCGGGTCTGTGGGAAACCTAGACCCCAGTGTCCTGACGTGGGTGAGAGAACCCCGTGGGAGGTGGGGCGCACTAGTCTGATGCAGGGGAGCTGCTGCAAAAGCAGCTTCCTCCCCCTTTTGGCCTGGCTTCTGGACAAGAGGAGAAACGTTTCTAATCGCTGAGTCTTTAAACCTTGAGGGAAGAAGCAGAGCGCCCACATAGTTCACGTCACTGCCCACAGGGCGTGCCAGGGCTGTGCTCCTCACCGGGCTCGCAGGGACCCTTGCCCAGACACGCACGCTCGGGCCACTGCTGCCGGGTGCTGGCTTTGGTTTCACGTGTGCCGAGTGTAAGCCAGCCAACCACGTGACCGCGAGAAGAGCCACCTCGTCTTTGGAAACTCTAATTGGCGGGGAGGTTGGGTGTGTGGAGCAACCCTGTTAGCGTAAGCTGCCAGCCTGGTGGCCCAGATACTTCAGGGTTCAACAACACAGCGGCCTGTCGTCACCCTACACCCGGTCCTCTGTGTTGTTACCCCGTCCACGGGGTGCTGGCCCATGCCCAAACTGCCCCGCCACAGAAAGTCAGCCCTTATTGGGGGGCCCTGCTTCAGCCCCCTGGACTTTGAGAACATCTGCTCATGATGAGGCCACACGGGAGGCGCACAGGCGGGAGGCCAGCTGCTCTCTGCTGCTCTACAGTAGGTGGTCTGTGTTGGGCTCCGAGGCAGCGGCTTCCAGCCTGTGGGCACACAGGACATGCTAGAAGGGAGGCAGGCACACAGCAAAGAGCCTTGGTGGGGCCAGCTGAGATGACGTGTTTACTAGGGGTGAGAGGGGGGGAGAGCAGTAGCCTCGGCAGCCCCACGCAAACCAGCCTCTCACGGCCCTGCCGGGAAACCTGGGGCTCGGAGTTCGGAAGGAGGCTCACGAGTCTCCTGTCCCGACTGAGACTGCTCTCTGAGGACTGTAGGAGGCGGCCAGCCACTGGCCAGCTGAGCTTGGCCTCGGTCCCTTTCTTCTGTGACGTGTATTGAGGGGCCAGGACCCAAGAGTGACTCCCTAGGGTGAGGCGGTCAGCACGGCGTGGATGGTGGCGGAGACAGGAGCCATCTGCAGGTGTCCGCACGCTGCCTTTTCTGGACCAGCGGGACCTGGGCGGGCTCTTCTTTCATAAGGTGGGGTGGCTGCGGCCGATTTCTGACTCGGGCTTGCCGTAGTGAGCTGCCCTGGAGGCAAGGATGGGAAGGACATAACACCGCAACCCATTCTCACACACACTGCTGTGACGACACTGCCGCCGTGCAGCCACCCTCCCCAGGCCTGGTGGGTGTGTGGTGGCAGCATGGCTACCACGAGCCCTGTGGCTGTCCCTGCCCCGGGGCTTGTGTCCCTTCCCGGCTCTGGTCCTGGCGGTGGCACTGCTTTAGAACTGGCTGGCCGCCAGGCCGAACGGTCCCATAAGTCAGTGTCCAGGATGTTCCAGGCACCCGAAGCCATGGACCGGAGCGGGGTCCATACCAAGCAAGAGCAGTTGTGGAAGGACGAGGTTGGCGTTTATATGCACCTGCGCGGATGCTGATCTAAAATCAGCTTCAGTGGAGTTGACTGTTGGATTGCTACAGGAGAGTCTGTGCGTGTTGGGGCAGGGCAAATCCAGCTGTGGCCCTGGATCTCCTGCCTTCACGGGCCTGGCTGTCGCTGGGTCTGACTGAGGGCCTGTGTCTCAGGAGAGCGCTTTCAGCAGCCGATTCCCTGGTTGGGTTGCCCGGCCATTCTTTAAGGTGCCTCTGGGTGGACTCGAAGCTTTTGGTGGGCAGCTGACTAAGCTCATGAACCCCCCCCCCCCGCCCCCAACAAGACAAAAACCCTCCCTTTTTGTGTCTCCCAAATGCTCACACAGTGAGGCTGGACTGCGTTGAATAAGTAAGCGTGTGATGACCTGAGCCGGGCCAGGGATGGAGTGGGTAGGGCAGAAAAGCGGTCAGCTGGGAAAGCCATTAAGATTGTCCTGCTGAGATAGGGACCGAGATGGAGCCAGGATGTAGTGGGAACATTCTTTGGGACAGATAAACAAGGCCAAGGCTGCCAGCCACCCTCCCTTCACCCCCGCTGCACAAAGTAGCTAACTGCCTGTCAGCAGACGGTCCCACCAGAGGGACAGAGCCCCTTTGTCCTCTGCTGACCAATGCGGTGCGGGGTGGGAGGCTCTGCTCAGCCCAGGCCGGAGATGTCGGCCCGAGGTTATCAAGAGGAGGAGAGTGCAGAAAGAAAACGGGGGTGGGGGGGGTGGACTTCATGATGAATAGAAGCAGAAGCAAACCCGCCAGCAGAGCCAGCTCTGGGTGACCTTGTAGGACAGCAGAGCCGCCCCGCAGGGTTTCCCAGGCTGTAAACCGCCCGGACTTCCTCGTGCAGAGGGGCTGGTGCATCTGCACCACCAGCCTGCAGATTTGTGTTGAAGCTCCTTAACTACTGCCCCAGGGCGCCCATTGCCCCCTTCCCGGGGTGGCTGCTCAGCAGGCCAGGTGGGCTCGCCCTGGCGTTCATGGAAGACATCCTTCTGCAGATCAGGTCTGCGTTGACCATTTCTCAACCAGCGTTTACCCCATCCCCACTGTGACACCTGCACTGTGTGCCACCCAGTGACCATATCGCCGTCACAAGATCAGGCACAGAGTGTCAGGGAGGAGGCAGGGGCTCCCATGGTGACGTTGCTGAGCTTGCGGTGCTTGATGTCTTCTGCGCTTCCTCCTCCGGAGTGGGAGCCAAGCCCTTCTCCAGCGCCTGTTCTTGGGTGACCCTGCTGACCTCTGAAGCATCATGCCACACACAGACCCTCACAGCACTACACACACAGACCCTCACAGCATGACACACACACACAGACCCTCACAGCACGACACACACACACAGCACCGCACGACACACACACACACACACACACAGACCCTCACCGCACGACACACACACAGACAGTGGTGTGGGACACTGTCTCAAGAAACCCACCACCGTTTAGTCCATTTCAGCTCCGAGTGACCTAGAGGGCAGAGTGGAACGCCCCCTGTGGGTTTTCAGAGACTTGAAATCTCTGCAGAGCTGGCGCCTCATGGCTCTCCCCCAGACCAGCTAGTGAGTTTGAACCGCTGACCTTGTGGTTAGCAGCTTCGCGCCACCAGGGCCCCTGAGGAACCTTCTCGGGACTACTAAGGGCATGGGGCTCTTTCAGAGACGTGAACACGGCGGTGATGGAGTTGCTGATCATGGCGTACGCCCTGAAGACGGCCTGCGCCAGGAACATCATCGGGGTGATCCCGTACTTCCCCTACAGCAAGCAGAGCAAGATGCGGAAGCGGGGCTCCATCGTGTGCAAGCTGCTGGCCTCCATGCTGGCCAAGGCCGGTGAGTGCGAGCAGGGCCGCGGGCGGGGCGGGATGCTGGCTGGAGGTGAGAGCTCAGGAACAAGGTCTTGTTCTTGTCTGTCCACTGTCTTACAGTTAAAAGGCATAGACCCAGTGTTTTCTGCTCTCGAATGCAGATTCCCACTTTCGATTTCATCCTATCACCAGAACTTTGGCTGTTGGTCTGGGCCTTCTTGTGGGGTCTTTTGAGCGTCATATCTACATGGATGGGTTTGCCTTCGTCGGAACGTCTGACTCCCCCCCATGCTATTGAACCTGCACTTGTATTTCGCCGTCATGTGTTCTCCTGGTCGCCTCCGCACGGCAGCTCGCTCTTCCTGCCTTTATTCTGCCTTGTGCCTGTCTAGCCGGGCCGTGTGCTCTCAGTACACTGCTGTCCTTACTTGTCTGGCGTTTGTGTAAAACAAATGTATCTTTGAGGCCCATCAGAAGGAAACCTTTGAATTACATTCACTCAACAAAGGAGAGCGGTTTGTTTTGAAAAGACCATGTGATGATGCTGGCTCTGTTCTGTAAGCCTACGTGGAGGTTGGGCCAGTCGCAGTCTGTTTATACGCTAACCTTTTTGTTTGGTGACTGGGAACCCTCGTGGCAGGTAGTAGCTTCAAGTTGGGCTGCTAACCACGAGGTCAGCAGTTTGAAACTGCCAGCTGCTCTGTGGGAGAAAGACAGGCTTTCTATTCCCATAAAGAGTTTCCTTCTCAGAAACCCCTGGGGTAGCTCCACCCTGCCCTGTCAGGATCCACTCGTTGGCAGTGAGTTTCCTGTTTGATTTAGTTAATGTTTTCCTATAAACTAAAACCAAAACCTTGCTGCCACGCGGTCGGTTCCGACTCACAGCATCCCGGGTTATGCACCATCGGCCTGCTAGCCTCACAGACAGCACTTTGACCAGCTCTCTCTACGCCCATGAAGAGTTAGTCTCAGAGAGCCACAGGCCAGCCCCACCCTGCCCTGCAGGGTCGCCCTGGTTTCCCTACAAGAATACTTGTCACCTGTCTCTTCCCGCACACAGACGGTGCTGCAACCCCTCTGACACAGCGGTTCTCAATCTTCCTAAGGTGTGGTGACCCCCAACCAGAAAATTGTTTTGGTTGCTACTCCATCACTGTCATTTTGCTACTGTGATGAATCGGGCGACCCCTGTGAGAGAGCTGTTCGGCCCCCAGAGGGGTAAAGACCCCAGGTTGAGAGCCACTGCGCTAGCACCTGTGTGAGGTGCGGGCCTCGTGCACATCGATTGGCTTTCTTCCTCCTCTCCCTCCGCCCGCCCTGGAGCAGTTTCTTCCAGATTCTAGTCCTCAAGGCCTGCTGCCCATCGGTGATTGCTTGGGCATTTCTTCACTCACCCCACGTTCAGATACAACGCTTTCTCCATTTCCAGGAGGGACGCGCTTTCCCTGCAGCTAGCTAGAAGGTTCCATTTGGCTTGCCAGCCCGTCCTTTAGTCCAGTAAGGCAGGGGGGTGTCCAGGTAAGGAGTGAAAAGGAGGGTTCCTGTGCTTACCCACAGCAGCCCGGCCTCTGCCGCCTGTGGGCCAGCGTGAGCTTGGTGACTTTGTTCTGTTGACACTTTCAGGTTTGACCCACATCATCACGATGGACCTTCATCAAAAGGAAATACAAGGCTTTTTCAGCTTTCCCGTGGACAACCTCCGCGCCTCCCCTTTCCTGCTCCAGTATATCCAGGAAGAAGTGAGGCACCCCCACACCCGCCCCAATGTCCCCTAGCGGTCTGCCCTAGTAGCCTCCACCATTGGGGCCACCCGGAAGCCCCCCACCCCCCTTCCCTTCCCTTTAGCCAAATGTCTGAGGCAGCCAGCAGGGGGCCGGGCTGGTCGTTTTTTTTTGTTCGAAGGCACTAACAGTAGATTCACTTTTAAGTAGTAGTTTTCAACTTGGGTTTCCTGAAGCTAAGGTTTACAGCCAGGTTTCCCTGGGCTTCTGGACGTAGCAGGGCACATTGCACTGACGTTTATTGAGCATGCGGAAGATTAGTTTTGCTAGTTTCAGTCCTTGCAACAAGAGGGAGGGGGAAATCCCCACACCTGTATTCCCAGCCCCAGATGTTATCGCTGATGCATAAAGCTTTTTTCTTGGTATTTTCTTATCTTCCCACCAAACCTAGATTCCAAATTACAGAAATGCAGTCATCGTAGCGAAGTCTCCTGATGCTGCGAAAAGGTAAGTAAGCAGAGGGCCCGCGACAGGCTGTTGGGGGGAGGCAAGGGCCCGCTGCGAGGCCCTGGCCCTGGCTCTGAACAGTGGACGACCAGCACCTTCAGGCAGTTGTTTCTTAAAGTGGTGAAACATAAAGCAAACATCTGCCGATAGGGCCTTTTCACAGGTGGGATTCAGCGGCGGCAGTTACATCCCCGTAGAGTCCAGCAGTTGACCTCCGAGTCTCTGCTGGAGTCCCCATCCCAGCTTGGGGCCCCCTCTCCCTCCCCCATCCTGGGGCTGCAAGTGAACTCTGGTCTCGATGCCTTTGTCCGTCTGGGTGGTTCCTACAAGCGGGTCAGACCTCGGCAAGAACTTCCCCTAGTTGGTGGCCAGCCTCCTTGTTCTGGTGATGGCGAGGACAGCTGTAGGAGCAGAGACTAGCCCGGGCCCCTCCTTGTGAGCCTCTCGAGGCCCACTAGAGAGCCCTCTGCGTCCCTGAAAGGCTGAGCATTGTTTCCTTCTCTGCTGTTAGAGCGGTGAAAGCCTGGTGCTGGCAGTCCCTCCCCAGGAAGGTCGCCATGCCCCTCCCATCTTTCTCCTAGGGCCCAGTCGTATGCAGAGAGGCTGCGCCTGGGGCTGGCTGTCATCCATGGGGAAGCCCAGTGCACAGAGCTGGACATGGACGACGGGCGACACTCCCCACCGATGGTCAGGAACGCCACGGTGCACCCGGGCCTGGAGCTGCCCTGTGAGTGGGCGTTGCGGGCAGGGCAGGGACTCCTGGCTCCAAGGGCGTCCAGCGAGCCAGGGTTTGGGATGAGGCCGTTGGGCTGTAGAAGCTGAGGTTCTAGGTGATTTCAGGATTTGAGGAAGGTTGAAAGGAGGGCACGCCCACCACACCTTCCTCAAACTCGAGTCTCCAGTCGAACACTTTCCTTCTCGGAGAGTGAGCTAAAGCATAGGATTCCTTGCTGACTTGGCCCACCACCTCCTGTGCCGGAAAACCAACCAAAAATGACCCTGCGCCCTGCTGGCCATCCACAGCGGGTGTTGTCCTCTGGCCGGTCATCCAGGAGCGAGTGGGGGTACCTGCTTTTGCAGCGGCCCCTCCCCACGAGGTGCATCGCCACTTTGGGAAACACACTGATTTGTAAGGACTGGGGTCATGGTAGTCGGGGCAGGAACATGAAGAACTAGAGGAAGGCTGTGTGCCTTGTCGGGGCTATCCTGCACCCTGGCTGGCTGGGTCCTTGTGACCCTTCTGTGAGGGACATCCAGCTGTCTACACACGACCCCCCTCATTCCCATTTGGGTCTTCTGGTGCTTGACACCCGATCGGTCCACACCTCATGATCACACAGGCCGGTGTACTTCTTCCATGTGGGCTTTGTTGCTTCCCAGCTAGATGGTTGCTTGTTTACCTTCAAACCATTAAGACCCCAGACGCTGTATCTTATAATAGCCAAGCACCATCCGCTTTCTTCACCAAGCACGTGACAGCCCCCTCGTTGCTGCCACTAACATGAAGGGCGGCGTCCTTCCTTGCATCTCACTGTTGCTCTTCTCAGGGCCGTGCCAGGTCGGCTGCCTCTCCGAGTAGCGTTCCGGGAGGTGACTGCGTTCAAGCGAGGCCACCATTCCCGCCCTCCTTGCTACTGTCATTACGGGAAACTGACTGCTTCCCGGTTTCCCGGCCCATCTTTTGGCTCCTGCTGTCATGTGATCACCATTCCTTACTAGGGAAGCAACCCTGTGGCTTTGGGGCTCACAGACGTGTGTAGGGACTGTTTCTGGTTGGAGGTTTCGGGTGATCTCGGGAAGTCGTTGTTGGGGAGAAAGCCAGCTCTGGCAGGTGGCCTTCACCTGCAGGGCAGTGCTTCCTCTGCGTCTCCCCAGGGTCTCGGTGAGGGTAAGGCAGAGCTGCGTCTGCCGCCGTGCCCTTGCTTTGCCCCTTGTCTTCCCAGGCCCTCCCTGCTCCCGGGGACGCTGCAGGCCTCAAACCGTGCCTGGTGTGCACAGGGCCGGCCCGCATACGTGTGTAGGGTACACCAGATCTTGAGTACAAGTTCACATGGGACTCTTGTTGGAGTCCCTGGATGGACAGACGGAGCTGCGTTGAACTTGGTAATGATGTTGCTGCTGACAAGTTGACATTGCATTGATTTGGCAGCGTTGAGAGAGACCCTGGTGGTGGGTCTGCATGCTTCTCAGAACGGTACTTAGGCATGTGGTCGTCCCTGGAGTCACTTGGGTCTGTGTTCTGATTCCTTTTCCAGTGATGATGGCCAAGGAGAAGCCGCCCATTACCGTGGTGGGCGACGTGGGCGGACGCATCGCCATCATCGTGGTACGCTGGGGCCCCTTGGAGTCCTCCCTCTGCGCTTCCTCACCCAACTCCCGTAGGACGAGGGGCAGGATTTTAGAGACCAAACCCACCGCCATGGGGCAATTCCAGCTCATGACCACCCTGCACGGCAGAGTAGAACTGCCCCTGGGTGTCTCCGAGACTGTAAATTCTGTGCAGGAGTAGAACACCTCGTGGATTTGAACTGCTGACCTTGCGGTAAGCAGCCCTAGGTGGAACCCAACATGGTCTACTGGCCCAACAGGGATTAAAGTACCCGACAGAGGAAAACATGTAGTCACTCCCACAGAATACTCCTCCCTGTAACCTTTGTACGACTCCCGTAAAACCCACCGACTTGGCTGCTGGACAGCCCGGTACAGACTCCTTCCTCCCGGAACGGTGTTTGTACAGGCCCTAATGGCTCTGCTGGGCCCAAGGGCCAGCCCTCTCCTGCACCACTCCTGGTTTGTAGTTCCTTCTCCCTCAGTGTACTCTCGTGGAAAACAAGACTACCAGGTTGGTGAGAAATGGACAGCAGGAGATGGGGCCTGACCACCATACACCCCAGCCCTGGAGGTTGCCCACAACCTCCCGACAGCCACACCAGGCTCCAGTGGGTGGGCCCAAGGGGGCAGCATGCCACCGCACCCTCCTTTGCTGGGGAGGCTGGGGAGGGGGGATGCCTTCACGCTGGGAGCTCAGCCGAGGCGAGGCTGGTCGGGCCTTCGCCCTCCCTCTCCTCTCAGGATGCTGCCCTGGTGGCGCAGGAAGCCTGGTGTGAGCGGCGTGGCAGACGGCACCCCCACACTCTCTGTTCTCCTCCCCCCAGGATGACATCATCGACGACGTGGAGAGCTTTGTAGCTGCCGCGGAGATCCTGAAAGAAAGGGGCGCTTACAAGATCTATGTCATGGCTACCCATGGCATCCTGTCGGCAGACGCGCCCCTGGTGATCGAGGAGTCCTCCATCGACGAGGTCAGAGCTGTTGCCGCCCTAACAGGACCACGGTCCTGCCACTGCGGCTGCTGGGTCCAGACATGCCGACCAGGGCAGAGGCCCCCAGCCCATAGCCTTCCGAGGGTGGGCTCAGACTGCTGACCTTTCTCACCAGTAGCCACTAGGAAGGGGTCGAACTGGCCCCTAGGCTGTCACCTTGACAGATGCCGGCTGCCCATCTCCTCTGTGGAGCTGCCGACCTTTCTGCTAACAGCTCTGTGAAACACCCACCCCAACTGTCCAGGGCTTCTGAGAGCCCTCTAGAGGGTTTCCAAGGCTGTAAATCTCCTCTTTGGTCCCAGGCAGCTGCTGGAGGGATGAAATGCCAACCTGGTTGCCAGCCTCAAGCTCACCGCTGCGCCAGCAGGGCCACCAGGGCTCCTTGGCGTGTGTTTGATCGTGCCGACATCAGCGGTGGCTTGTCAGGCAGGTGGTTCCCCGGGGAGATGTGAGTGGAACTGGGCCGGGGCGGCATGTCTCAGGACTCACATGCGCCCAATCACGTGGGGCTGGGGCATGGAGCTGGCCTCAGCCACTGTGGCCTGGCCGACAGGACCCCTGAGGACTGCGGCTTCAGGTTCTGAGCCCGGGAGCACTCGCAGCGTCAGGGTGTCGGGTGTCGTTTCTGTGCCATCAAGCGCTGTGGTGCTTAGAACTTGAGCCATGCCCAACTTGACCCAAGGGCCAGTCCACAGTGCCACTGTGGGTCGGGGGCCAGACACACTGGCGGGCAGCCTCTGACGGTGCAACTTGTGGGAGGAGAGTGATGACAGTGCCGGGCCCAGGGGGACAGTTTGTCCAGCGTGCCCACTGGAGCACCAGTCTGCAACCCCGGCACCTGAAGGACCAGATGGTGCCCGCTGCTGCTCTACCAGTTGCACTGCTGGAAGCCATCGCATTGGAAGGTGCTGAGTAGAGCGAGGGGGGAATGTGGCCCCCAAACTCAGTTATCTTTAAAAAGATCATGCTTACTGATCCGGTCAGGTAGAGACTGGTAAAACCCCTTCCGGTCTGGAAACCAGCGTACCCTGGTGCCCTGGTTGCCAGCCCAACAGTAGACGACAGGTTCCAGGTCCATTGGGGGCAGTGGCACTGGGGAGGTCCGTGTACGGCGGAGTCATCTGCAAGCACTGACCCCAGGACCAGGGTCAGAGGGTGAGAAACAGAGGAGTGGCAACGGGGGTGGGGGGTGGGGTTTGCGGTGAATGAGATGAGACGGATGAACCACGTGTTCAGGTGAGTAAGCGAATGCTCTGCCCATCCACCTGTACCAGTTGACAATCTAACATAAGGACAATTGCTACCAGGGTCCAGGGTCCCGCATCATCAGTGATGGCCACAGACAAGTCCCCTTAGGAAAGCACTGATCCTGCAGACTCAAGAGTAAGGGCTTCCCTGGGAAGGGCGCAGTCTGAGCAGTGGCTCCCAGGGGACCTGCTTGGCCACATACCAGGGCGAGCGCAGATGGTTCCGGCCACCACATCTTGAGGTGCCAAAGGGGTTGTCGTGGTAGACTTTTCTCAGAAGACGCTCATGAGGACTTCCTAGGGTAGGATGTGCTGGAGTGGTGAGACAAAGGGCAGAAAGGCTGTACCCGGGAGTTGTTTCCTCTGCACCTGCTCGTTCTTGGAGCGAGGGGAGTAGGGGCTGACTTAGGGGGAGTTTCGTTGGGAAAGCTCATCCCTTCCACCCTGCAGCCCTGACCTCACCCCTGCAGACTTCTCTTTGTCCCCCAAAGTCAGCGAGCTCAGGTCCCAGTCTGAATCCGCCGAGCAGGACGCTGTCTGATGTGGAGTGAACCGAGTCCAGACTGGCCGGGGAGGGTGAAAGGGAAGCACCATCTTCAGGGGGCCGTTGTCGCAGACAGCCTCTCCCTCGGGTGGTGATGGTTCAGGAAGGTGTCTGGCGTTGGCGGTACTTCGGACAGACCCAAGTGTGCGCAGGTCGGGCACAGGGAAGTCACTTGTCTCCCTCTCGCTGTCCATCTAGGTGGTGGTGACCAACACCGTCCCTCATGAGGTGCAGAAGCTGCAGTGCCCCAAGATCAAGACTGTGGACATCAGCTTGATCCTGGCTGAAGCCATCCGAAGAATTCACAATGGGGAGTCCATGGCCTACCTCTTCCGAAACATCACTGTGGATGACTAGCCCTCACGGTGGCCTCGGCCCCAGAACACCTGCAGGGTTCAAGTTCACGCGCCGTCTCCTTTCAGAGGAGGGCTGGGCATCGACCACCAGGAGGGAGGGAGAGCGTGTCTGTCGCCGAGATTGTGGAGGGCATCCAGTCCGTCAGGAGGGCAAAGCTAATGGAGAAGTGGCACCGCCCGAAGAGTCTGCCGTTGGCACTCCTGCTCCCCGAACTCGTTACAGACTTCCCCGGGAACATCCGGTTGCCTTTGACAGGTCAGAAAAGGCAGAGCGCCCTGCTCTGTCCGCGTCCCTTGAGCGTGTGAGCTCCCAAGAGACGCAGGAGTGTCTGCTGCCCTCGTCCCAGTTAACCAGCCTCATGTCGGCCTTTTCTAGAGAAGCCGCCGGTCTCGGCCCATCCTGTGCTGTCTGGATAGGTTGCTCTTAATAAAAGACCTTGTCTCCTAGCCTCCCTACCACGAGCCGTGTCCAAGAGGCCTCAGCCCCAGAACCCCTTCGGGGAAGCGTGGACAAGGCCGCACCATCAAATACACAGCCTGGGATTGTGTGGGAGAGGGTGGGCACCAGTACAGGGACGGGGTGGCATGACTACTCTACTCCCCAAGGCTCCACCCCGTGCCAGGCGATGGAGTAACGTCCTTGTTGCGTCTGCGTTGAAAAGAGGGGAAAAAATTAAAAAGCAGCTCATTGTGCTTTTTCCTGTGGGGTGGTGGGTACTTGGGACATCATACTCTTTTTTAATTGAAAGAATTGATTTTCCATTTTTGTGGCTGACCATGTGGGCAGCGCAGAGCACAGAGTTCCCTGGTGCAGCGGGCACTTGGTACTGCCTTCAGGCGTCACCCTTGCCACCTGATGGGACACAGGGCATCTCACATGCTGGTTTATACCAAGTGTGTCAGGTGCAGCCTTGCAGCGCACACCCACTCACCCCCCTGCCAACACCCAGTAACCCACAGGGCAGAGCAGAACTGCCCCGGGGAGCAATGGGGGGAGAGGCGGGGTTAGTTGTACAATTGTGTGGGGGCAGGGAAGCTTCCTCCACATTCCCCACCCTGCTTTCTCACACAAATGGGTCACCTCCGGATTGGCAGTCCACACAAGGCAGGCAAGGCGTTCTGTTTCTCACGCCCCAGAGGGAGCGGAGACTCTCAGGTATTCTTGGCAAAAGCTTGTATTTTCACTCGCCTGATGCAAGTGAAAGTTGAACAATTGAATAAGGAGAACTAAAGAAGAATCTATACACGTTAATTACGGTGTAGTTCGTTACAGGCAAAGAATGCCAAGTACAATAGACTGCCCAAAGCGCCAGGACGTCTGAGCCTGTCTTGGAAGTACAGCCAGAACACTGCTTGGACGTGAGCATGGCCAGACTTCTGCTTAGCACACATCCGTCGGCAGATGAGCCCTGGGAAAGAGGCAGTGGAAAAAACAAGACCTTGGAAGACCACTCGCCGCTCGTGCTCCCGTTAGCCACCAGTATGGTAGACCTGCCCCCCAGCAGTGTGGTGGAGATACATAGCTCACATCACGCACCAGCATAGGTCAGTCGTATTTGAAAAGAGTTGTATATACATCGACAGTTCTAGGGCCTCCTGCTAACCCCTGTGTTCATTAGCTCATTTCTCTCTCACTTCCCCCTCCTACACGTCCCCATCAGTAAGATGCTCTCATTGTCTATGCATCTGCCCATCCTGTGTATCATGCTGGGAAACATGAACAGTCAATCAAGCCAACAACAGCAAATATACGAGAAAAAAGACCAATGACAATGTTAAACCAGAGAACAAAGTTGTCGAGAAAAATGCCGGAAATACTGGAAACCAGAAGGAATCCAAAATGGATTAAGTGGGAGATCTAATGGCCAGCTACCACGTTATAAACCTAATTCCATCTGTCAGGATCAAGTTTTATAATAGTCCAGTAGCAAGATTATTCACGTCCACGAGATCAGAGGGGATCCACACATGGATCATGAGCCCCTCACTGCCATCCATGCATCCACAGCCTTCTGCAAATTAGATGTTTATAAGCTCTTACTTTTCCCTCCCTCGGATTTGGGTTTTATTACTTATTATCCTTGGATCTCACTGGTTGGTGTGCTGCTTCCATGTGGAACTGAGTAGATGTCCCGGGTGGCTGTTGAATACAAGGCTTTAGGATCCCAGAGACTGGTAGCCAGGCACCATCTGCTTTCTTCACCAGACTTGGCTGTAGCACCCATATCTTCAGTGATCTCTTCATGAGGCACAGCATCAAGCAGAGGCATGTCATAAGAACTAATTGTTCTTGGATTGGGGCTAGAAAAGTGGGAGTCCCCTAAAAGTTGCTCTGAGTCAGAAGAAAAGTGAGAGCCCCAAATCCATTCACCTGTCCAGGGGTGGTGTGCATCTGGTTTGCTTGAGAGGCATCAGTATTATTCTATGATGTCATCCCCTTGGGGTATAAGGTAGTACTGTTGGTGGTGTCATTAATTTATGCAATGGTGTAACACACTGTTGAGAATGTTTTGCAAGTAGGGACTAACTGAACCCCAGTTTTGTTGGGCTTTGAAATGATTGAGCTGTTTGCATTGCCCATGGAGGTTTGTGAGTGGGGAACATTTTTGGCAACATTCATTTACAAGGCCAGCACCTTACTGATCAGTTTAATGCATGTCAGTAGAACATCAAATACAAGGTGGTCTTGGCCCATAAAGCTAGGGACCCTCACCAAAGTCCAGCCACCTGTGGCAGACTCATCTCAGAATTGAACTGCTGGGCCAGGCACCAGGGTAGAAATACAGGGGACTTCCAAATGTGGTCCCGATTCCCAAGGCAGTCTTCCGAAAGATGCAGAGGCTGCAAGAAAGGAGGCGCAGGACCAGGCAGGGCTTCGGTCTGTGGCATCTGCAGCGTGCTGTCAGCACTGACCGGATGGCACCTGAGGAAACAGCACGGTGATTCCCGGGATGAGGGTCTGCTGCCCCTTCCCTCTGCTCAGTCCAGCGAAGGCTGGAGGAGCCCTGGTGGCTCTGAGCAGTTCGCCGCAGGGTCAGAGCTTCAAGCCCAGCAGTTGTGCTGACCGAGAAAGGTGAGTCAGTGTGCTTTGGTAGCTGCTTGCCCCCCGCACCCCCCCAGCCTGAGAAACCCTGGGGGGCAGTCCTCACTGCATCGGAATCAACGGGGGATGGGGCAGTGCTCTTGGCAACAGGAAGGTGGGCATGGCCGGCCTGAGCCAACATTCTGCTCAGAGCTGGTACAGTGCTGGGGCTGCTAACACTTGAGTTGATTAAGTAGCACTGACACTGACCAGAGACACATCGGCATGTTTGAAATAACTGGTGTTTGCAAAGTACCGGCAGTGCCATGGACTGCCAGGAGAACAGCGAGACTGAGGAAGGGCCGCCCAGAAAGTCTCCATCACATGTACTTGGGACCTGTCATCAGAAGAGATCAGTCCCCGGAGGACACCATGCCTGTAAAGTAGAGGGGCAGTGAAAGAGGGAGACTTCAAGGGCTGCCCCCATGGGCACAACCCTAGCAATTTAGAGGATAGACCTGTCGGGCAGTGTTTCCGTCTGTCCCACCAGGGTCTTGATAAACTGGGGGTGACTGGTTGGTCCCTAACAGGAACTCAGACCGGACAGGAAGCCCCGAATTGGAAAGTAGACCCTCCCACCTCTACCGTGCACCCCAAGGGCTGCCCGCCAGATGCAGACTACTGTCCCCGAGTGGGGATGGCCTCAACAATCAGGGTTCATGATTGCTAGGGTACCCCTGTAGCCTGCCCATGCTCAGGGGTCCACAGCTGTCAGAGTTGCTAGCTTGTACCTTGCTAGCTCAAGGGAATGGTTGGAGTTCAGTTTGGACTTTGGGAGGCCTACACCCTATGCAAAAAATGAGGGG